GAGGCTGAGAAGAGCCCCTACCCAACCAAAAGATAGAAGGTCCTAATCCCTGAACAAATAAATATTATTTTCTTTGGGAAAAGAGGTTTTGCAGATGTGTTTTCAGATCCTGAGATGGGTGATTATCCTGGATTACACTGTTGGGCCCTAAATGCCATTATAAATGTCCTTATAAGAAAGAGGTAGAGGGAGATGAGAAAGAAGAAAAGCAACGTGAAGACAGGATGGAGAGAATTGAAGGAGCTGTCTGTACAGTTTCATGTGGCCTGGACATCCACTTTGAACATGCCTAAGCAAGGCTTAGCCACCCCCACGCAGTTTCTAATTCTCTGGCCACTCCCATTTAACCCACATGGTCTGTCTAGACATCTGCCTCATGCAGCTTCCTCCTGGTGAGCACCTCCAGATGGGACAGCTACAGACAGCCTACCTGAGTGGCCCCCTGACACCCACGCCCATGTGGACCATGCAGATGCCACAGTGACCACCTCTCGGGCACTGCATGAACTCCTGGAACTCATGTGCATCTGCTTTAAAGCCACCCATTAAAACCCCTCTAGAAACCAGCTGGGAGAATGCCTGGACCCAAGTACAGGAGTTGGCCCACCGATTTGTCTCCCTCCCCACAGGTAATTACTGACTTTGTGTGTGGCCTCCAGGTATGCCCTGGCATAATCTTTATTTCCAACCAGTAACTCTCCACATATTGGAGAACTCTCCACCTTAAGATCCAAAATTGTAACACTGACTTCAAAAGATAGGGGCTGGAGGTATACTTCAGTGGTATAGCACATTGCTAAGCATGCATAGAACCAGTACCAAAAACAAAAGGTATAGAGGGACACAGCCACAAGCCAAGAATTGCCAGAAGCCAACTGTTGCAGTAACTCACTCGCTGATCAGCATGAGAAAGAAAGAAGAAGCAGAGGAAGCCAAGCAGCAGAAGAAAAAAAGCCCCTTTAATTGTATACAGCAATCTTTTTATAGTATTGTGAACAAAGGAGGCAGCCTTACAACAGCAATAAATCAGGTCTTTTAGCTAGTTAAACATAGCATACAGAAGTCTTACTTTCTAATCAGAAGTGACCCGCTTCTCATGGCTAATCTACTCTTGGCCCGGAGCATGCTGAGCTCTGCTCTTTGTTAAGAACAGATAATAAAATTTTTCTTAGCGCCCTCCTAGCCCACTTGGTAGAACATCCTGTTTGTGAGCAAGTCCTCCCAAGGACAGCAGACACCTCGTTTTCAAGCATGTCCTCTGTTACCTTATCTAAACCTTGAAAGAACCTCTCGTTTGCGAGCAAGCCCCAACAAAGACAACAAAATATCTCGTATGCAAGCATGATTTGCTGTCATCTTATTTAGACTTTGACAGAATATCCCATTTGCAGGCAGACTCCATCAAGGGCAATAATAATTACGTTTTCAAGCTCATAATCACATCTGATTCTCTACACCAACAGAGGCTGGAAGATAAAGGGAAGGATTCTCCCCTGGAGTCTCAAGAGAAATGTGACCCTCTGACACTTTGATTTCAATCCAGCAATATTGGTTTTGGAACTCTGGATTCCAGAACTTTGAAATAATACATTACTATTGACTTAAGCCACTAAATGTGTCACATTTTCTTGCAGCAGTAACAGGAAATCAGTACACTGCCCTCTCTGATTCTCAGCCATGTCAGAGACAGGCAAAGAAAACTGACATGTACTCTGTGGCTGGTGTGTGGCTCAGAGATGAACACAGGAGCTGATCAGCCCCACATCTGAGGACACACTATCCGAGAACATTCTCCTGAGCTCCCACAGATACCCTCGTGTGGGCTGCTTGGGGGGGTCATCTCAAGGTTTCATCAAAGCACCTCAAATGGAGCCATCTTCAGGCAAGGAGACCCTGGTGAGCTCACTGAGCCCTGAATCCCGCCACGCCTGAAGCCAGACCCACCTGGGGTTGTCAGCCTCCAAGAACCAAGACACTGCCCACTTGATTAAAGAGGCTTCTCCATCCCTGGCAACCAAGAATCCCAGGTCACCCAGGGAATTCTTTTTTCTTCCCCTGCGCCTGTCTCAGGCTGAGCAGCCTGTCCTTGGCACTTGCTACTGCAAAGCAGGTTCTTTGCTGCAGAACAAGTCACCCTAAAAGGTCGGGTCGTGGCTTTGAAATATTTTTCTCTTGAAAAAAGCTTGCTCTTAAGGTGACTGCAGGTAGAATCCCTTCCACAGGAAACTTGAGCGGTGACCGCAGACTCTCAGTGAGTCGGAATTTAGTGGGAAACATCACATCAATGATTTGTGGCATCTCAATGCCACTCAATTTGTGGATTGAGATGCCACAAATACAGATTTTGGTGGCTGTTGGTGGGAGGTGTGGACGGTGCTGATTCCAAGTGGAAGCCCGAGGTGGACAGCCGGGGGAAGGTGCTGGCTGTGGGGCCACGTTGCACAACACGCCCTTCACACAGCTCCTGACGCCTTCCTGGGGCAGAGGAGGCTTGTCATGAAGTTGTTCTTACCGAGCCCTTATAATACAGACCAAGAGCTGGCTGCCCAGCCCGCACAGAGCATGCTGTGGCACTGGAAAAAGGAAAAGCTGCATGTTGAGGGCCACTCATCAGGGACAGAGAGCAAAGGCTGGAATCTGTCTCTCCAGCCACTTGTAACTGAGGAGCTTCTAGGAAGGGGCAGGGAGCAGCTGCTTGTGCTCAGAGGGCAAGAGGGGGAGGTTTTGGGGTCCTCTTGCATAGAAACGACTGCTGCCCTTCCTCTTGACAGGTCACAGAATTCTTCTGGGGGCAGTTATCATGTTCAGCAGATTCTGAGTTTCTGATGTCTAAAGGTCATTGACCAGCGGAGTGGACTTCTGCCTATGCCCATTCTAGACGAATTGGTTTCAAATCAAATTTGGAGGCTTTTCCTGCAGAGCAGCTTAAGCACTTTGCTATGTAAAGAACTGTATGGCCTGACCCCACTTCCCTTATACTGTTAGAACTGAGCAGCTAAAGGATTTCTTTTAGTTCTTTTTACCTTTGAATTTCTACCATGCTGTATTTTCAGTTCTCTTGCATTGAAAACCCCCATGAGAGAATGCTGGTTTTATTTCCATGAAGCAAAGAACTCATCCTGTAGGCTGATGAAAAGCCTTTTAGTCCCCTCTCTGTTGATATAACAAAACTCCTGAGGCAGGGACTATGTAAAGCAAAAAGGTGTGTTGAGCTCACAGTTCTGGAATTTCAAAAGCGTGGCGTGTCTGGAAAGGACCCTGTGGCACATGGCACCACAGTGGCAGGAGTGTGGGAGAAACAGAGACCTTAGAGTGACTGGAAGCCAGAGAGGGGCCCAGCAGGGGTGTGGCTCAGGGGAAGGGCACCTGGCTGGCATATGGGAGGCCCTGGGTTTGATCCCCAGCACTACAAAAAGGTGGAGAGGGGAGTCAGGCTTGCTCTTCTTGGGAGGAGGATTAATCTCCTCTGAGGACATCACCCATGAGCTAATCCCCTTCAGCAAGGCCCCCCCCACCTCAGCAGCACCACGCTGTGGACCAAGCTTCCTACATGGGAACCTGGGGACTCTGAAGTCTAGCTGAGCCATAGCCAAGAGTCTTCCAAAATGTTTGACTTCATTGCTTGCTTGCTTTTCTTCTTTCTTTCTTTTCTTCCTTTTCCCATCCTGTAGCAGGATGGGAAAGTTGGAATCACCAAGTGTCCTGTTGAAAAGAGGAACAAAACTTGACAACAGTGTTCTTTTTGGTCATGGACACCATTGTGAAAAGTACTGGTATTAGGGATTGAACCCAGGGGTACTTTACCACTGAACTACATCCCAAGCCCTTTTCAATTTTTATTTGGAGACAGGGTCTCACTAACTTGCTCAGGGCCTCTCGAAATTGCTGTGGCTGGCCTCAAACTTGTGATCCTCCTGCCTCAACCGCCCTAGTCACTAGGATTATAAGTGTGCATCCCCTCACCTGGCACAAATTCTTGATGTAAAATAATCTATGGAGTTAAGTCTTTCATTTCTTATTTATAGTTTCTAATAGTTTGGTTTTTATCAATTGTATCATACGTATAACAGAGAACAGGGACTGGGGTTGTGGTCAGTGGTAGAGTGCTCACCTAGCACGTATGAGGCACTAGGTTTGATGATCAGTACCACATAAAGTTAAATAACAAAGGTACAGTGTCCATCTACAACTAAAAAATATTAACAAAAAGAACAGACAGCAGGGTGAGTGCTACATTGATGATGAGAAATTTCAGATGTGATAAAGAAAGGGTTGATGAAAAATGTGTTCCTTCAGGTGTCCAGGCTGTTCTTCAGAGGGACATTAATTAGAAGGGGAAAAGACAGTCTTGATATCCTCTAACACGTGGTTGTACTATTCGCCATGACTGTTTTTGAAAAAGATTTTACCCGTTTCAGAATTCAGTATTTTATGGAACGATACTGACTGCTGTAGCAGGATGGGAAAGTTGGAATCACCAAGTGTCCTCTTGAAAAGAGGAACAAAACTTGACAACAGTGTTCTTTTTGGTCAAGGACACCATTGTGAAAAGTCATTGACCAAGGGCTGGAGTTGTGGCTCAGTGGCAGAGCGCTTGCCTAGCATATGTGAGGCATTGAGTTGGATCCTCAGCACCACATAAAAATAAATAAATTGAATTAAGGTATAAAATACAAGTCATTGGCCAAGACGTGCAGTGTCCTCCTGAGGGGAGGAGTGCTGGTGAGCCTTGGCCAGGGAAGCTGAGGAGTGGCAGCAGGGCCTTCACTTGCTGCTAGCACACGTTGGAGCCCCTGCTCATGACGCCAATGTCCACTGTGCCTTCTCACTATTGAAGGCACAATGGGAAAGAAGAAAAGGAGGAAGTGACGCTGGGAGGACCGTGTCACACTGTGTGTGGAGCACAGACTGCAAGTGCAAGGGAATTTATACGCAAATTCAGCAAAAGAAGAAGTGGAGAGGGAGAACCAACCCACAGGGCAATGGAGCTCAGCCAGAGATGAGCGGTTTACACACTTGCAATTTATTCCAGATGAACAGGAGTGACTGTGCCAAGGAGAGGTGGGGCTGCAGGAAGCAGCTGTGGAGATGGGCGTGAGGGGTAAGGAGGGACAAGGTGTCCCCCTAGCAGTTCACATGCCTGGAGGCCAGAAGGGAGAAGCAGGTGAGCAGGAGATTACTACACCCCAGGGACAGCCCAACGGAGCTCTGGAGCACTGAGAAGCAGGGCATCCTGCAGGGTGCACCCCAATTGGGCCAGGGTGACAGACCCAGTGGGTTCCACACTAGCGCGCTGCCCTGGGAGGGGGTTCTGGGCGACGGCCTCTCAGCAGACACAGTCCCTTGGGGGCTTGAGGCATTTCTTTCTTCTTCTTCTTTTTTTTTTTTAAATATCGTTGTTTTATTTATTTATTTTCGTATGTGGTGCTGAGGATCGAACCCAGTGCCTCAGGCATGTGAGCGAGTGCTCAGCCACTGAGCTATAGCCCTAGCCCCTTGAGGCAGTTTGTTCTTGATGGCCCAGGACAGTCCTGTGAGTTAGGTTGATGGGGTCTATTTTGCAGAGGAGCAAGGTGAGGAGTGAAGTCATTTGCTCAAAGTTGGGTTCCTCACAAAGTTGGGTGATGAGACTGAAACTGGGGCTCCTGTTCCGCCCAGCACCAGGGCGGGGCATCCTCTGTGCTGCTCCACTTCCTGTGCACCTGGAGAACTGCTGATCTAGGAATTGTCCCTGGTGTCTCTCTCCCCGGGACATCCGGCTGCTCCTGGAGGCCACCATTGCAGATCTTGATCTCTGAGTATTCTGTCCTGCTGCTGGCCTCCTGCACCTTGGGCTCTCGAGGCTCAAACTCCAGGAAGCTGAGGGAGGCGTAGTGCAGCTCCTGGGGCTCTGGCTCCTCTCCCATGGCCAGCGTGGCCTCAGTGGGGGTGGGACCATATGAGGGGCTGTCCAACCAGGATGCATCCTTGGGACCCTGAAGTGGGGCAGGAGTCGGGATCCAATGAGGATGACGGGGCTGGGAAAGAGTGAGGAGGACCCCCAAGCCAACCCCAACTCAGTGTTTAGTCGCCTCTGTTCACCCCACAGAGAAGGACTGGGCGCCCTGCTCTCGTCCACCCAGTCTGGTTCCCTCAGTGCCTGGGATCGCGTGCACCTGGTGCTCGGTCAGTGCCCGTTTCACAAGCCTTCACAGAATCCACGGGGAACACTCATGTGCCCATTTACCAGCTGGAGAAAATGGGGCTAAATAACCATTTCCAAACACAACCTAGTGAGTGGTCAGCAGGGTTCCTGGCCAGGTCTCTCTGAGTCCAGTGCCCTGGGCCCAGGGGCAGAGCGCTCCCCGCAGCAGCCCTGCATATTGCACGGGCACCTGAGCAGGCTCCCTTCCGGCCTCGCCCAGTTAGTAGTGGGGAAGGACAAGCAGACAGAGCAGTCACCTTCTTAGAGACACCGTCAAACAGCAAATGTGACAAGGTGCACAAGAATGGGCGGTGCCAATGGGCAGGCCTTAGCACAGGCCCGGAAGCCCTCAGGGCCCACGCAGCATTTCAGAGGCCAGGCAGGCAAAGGGAACTAGGCAGCATGCCGTGAGCCCACGAAACAAAGGCTACTGTGCCTTGGGACTCATCTTGCCCAGATTAGGGGTGGACTCTCTGCACCCAGCTCCTGGGAGGGCTTATCTTCCCTCAGGCCCCGCCTGACAGAAGGATCTGCGTTCCCCTGGGAACCTCAGGCCAGACGGGTTGACCTACGCTTACCTATGCTAATGGTGTGGTTTATGGTGGCCACGTAGGGTCATGTGGCATCAGTTTGATCTTTGGAGGAGCTAGACACCAAGTGACTGAGGCCAGCCACATAGGTGACAGTGTCAGTGTGACCAGTCCCTAGTGGAGACTTGGATGCCAAGGCCGGGTGGAATTCTTGATTGCAATACTGCTACCTGCTGTCAGGCTCTGGCCCTGGAGATGAGGTGCTCTTGGAGAGACTCCAATGGGACAGGACCACTGGGACCTCCTGTCACCCACCCCACCCCTGTGCCTCTTGCTTCACAGCTGATGTCAGGCTTGGAACATGTGAGGCTTCCAACAGACCATGGCCGTTTGGGGGATATTTCTGTGGCTTCCTGCCTTGCTGAGGAGTGAGGAGAAGGGAAGGGGTGAGGGGTTCAGAGAGAAATGAAGAGACGGAGTGGAAGGGGCTGAAGTGAGTCCAGGCAGTGGGTGGTCAACCTGGGTGGCCATGGCCTTGGGAGCAGGGAAGGGCCTTGGCTGGGAAGTTCCAGGACACTAGACTGGGACTGGGGCCATGTTGGTGGGGACACAGGTGCAAAGCCTATTTGCCATAATGAGTCCCCTGGCTGTCCAGAGGTTCTGGTCCGGCCACCTGGGGAGGCAGGGGCTGGAGGACAGTGGGATCCTCACACTCACCCCACAGACAGGGCCCAGGTCAACGGGGGTGTCCTGTTGTGCAGTTCCTGTTGGGCTGGCAGCTTTCTTCCTGCGAGTCTTTAACCTGAAGGAGGAGACTGGGCCACTCAGCCACCTGTGGGCTCAGACCTTGGGGTGGGACTTCTGTGGGCCCTGCTAAAATAGCCTAGAAAGCCTACCAAGGCCCAGGAGTCAGGGGACATGTCTCACTGAGTGACTCCTGGGATAATGGGCAGGGCACAGACCCCTGCTCTGATCCTCTGGCCCAAGGCCACTCATAGGCACTGGCCTGTCAGACCCTCCAGTGGGGCCTGTAGGGTCCTGGGGACACATCCTCCCTCCACACCTGGCATCCTGCCCAGGAAGAACACTCACCAGAAGACGAGGCAGGCACAGAGGGAGAGTAGAGCGGCCCCACCAGCAGCCCCCAGTGTCCCCAGCAGGACTCCCCTGAGCTCTGGCTTCCCTGCAGGCAAGTGGGGTTCATGGTGAAGCCCTCTGAACCCCAGGACCCCGTCCTCCTCACACACCTACAGCCCTTCATCCCAAACAGCCAAACAACGAGTCCTCTGTCCACCCCTTCCATCCAGGCTCAGCCTATGGCCCCAAGCCCTGTCCTTGGTCACTCCTCAGATCCACCTCCCTAAACCTGGGCCCCCACAGGCCCCTGACCTGGCAGCAGCAGGACGGTGGCGCTCTGGGTGCCCTGGGCGTTCTGGGCCTCACAGCTCAGCCTGAGGTCGGAGCTGAGCGCCCCGTGGAGGCTCAGGGAGCTGTTGGCCCAGGGCCCCGCGGAGCTGGAGGTGACCCCGAGGGAGGCATTGCTGCTGTTCCCCTCCAGCAGCCCCTCCCCCAGCCGCCAGTGCAGGGCGGGGCCGGCCAGGCGCGGGAGGAGCAGCTGCAGAGCAGAGCCTGGGCCTCCCAGGAGCAGGAGGGTCCCAGCAGCCGTGGGGGGTCTGAGGAGCGAGGAGAAGGGTCAGCAGGTGCCACCTCGTCCCGACCCCAGGCGTGCCCTCCCTCCCCTCCCGCACTCACAGTGCACAGAGAGGCTCAGGGAGAGGTTCTGGGAGCCCAGGGGGCTGCGGGCATGGCAGGTGAACTCTCCTCCATGCTCTGTCTGCACCCGGGGCAGCTCCAGGACCCCAGCGTCGGAAAGCCACTCAGGGCTCAGGGTCTGCGTCCCCCAGGTCCAGCTCAGCCTGGCTGGGGGGTTGCTGGGGGTGACACAGACCAGGCGCAGGCTTTGGCCCTCCAGGACTGGGAAGGACGTGCCATTCCTGATGACTTCTGTGACTAGGGAAGGGAAGAGGCAGAACTGACCTGTGGCCCCGTCTCCTGGGCCCGCAACGGGGCACCCAGAGGCCCTGCTTCCTCTCTGCCCTTCCTACCTGTCCTATTTTCTTGGGAAACCGTCACCCTCAGGTCCTCTGGAGGATCTGCAATGGAGACAGGAACCAGCTCCAGGTGGGCTGGGGCTTCCCTCTGGGCAGAGGATCCAGCCCAGGACACTGAGGTGGTGGGAGGCAGAATCACGTGCTGGGTCCCCACACTGACTGCCCAATGGTCTAGCAGGACAGAAGCCTGGTGCCAGGGCCCTGGGGTTCTAGGCCCCCCAGAGCTCTGAGACCCTGTCATGGCTCCTGCCCTCCTCTGCTCCCTCCCAGGGACCTTCTGGTCTCACTCACACTGCACAGAGAGGTCCAGGGTGCCCTGTTGGGAGCCCAGCCTGTTCTCTGCTCGGCAGGTGTAGAGCCCCGAATCTCCAGGCTTCACCACGGGCAGCTGCAGCTCCAGGGTTCTGGGGCCCAAGGGGCAGGACCAGGAGAGGACTCTGTCCTCCAGGACCCAGCTCAGAGTGGCCGGGGGATGGCTGTCAGCAGCACAGAGGAGCCGCAGGAACTGGCCTTTCTGGACTTCCAGATGTGAGAATTTTCCCTGGGCCACTGGGGCTGGAGAGGGACAGACAGAGACATAGACATAGACAGAGCTGAGCCTGGCCTAGGGTGCTGATGCCCTGGGCCTCTGTCTTTCAAAGCCGCTTTGTCCAGTTAAGATCACAGACCATACAATGGCACTGACAGACCACAGCAGGTCAACAGTCCCATGGCTCTTATGTGTTCAGATCTGGGTCACCACAATGTTAGCCCATTCCTACCACACCAAGAGGAAACCCCCACCCCAGCCCTTGCCCAGCCCTTCCATCCCCAGCCTAAATACACAAACCCACTGTCTCTGGATTTGCCTTCGCAGGGTGTTACATATCCACAGAATTCCATGTGTGTGGTGGACTGTGTCTGGCTGGCTTCTCTCCCTCAGCGCCATGTCTCCAGGGTCATCATGTACAGTGCCTGCCAGAGCTTGGCTCTCCTTTAGGGCTGAATTATATCCCACCATCTGAATCCACCACAGTTTTTGCATCCATCCATCAGTTGATTGACAACTGGGTTGTTCCTTGATTTCTCTGAGGCTGTGGTCCTTGTCCACATTAACCACCCAATACCCGTGAGCCTGTTTACTGTTGAAGTATCCAAATTCAATTATCAGCCCTCCAAGGCCCTGGGGGACTGATCTCCACCTCCTCCTCTCTGTCCCCCCAGGCTGATATACAACTCCTGAGGAGAAGGGGCTGTTGAGACTCCTTCCCACAGTGACACCCAGCAACTGTTCCTCTTGTCAGAGGGGAATTGAGTGCTGGTTTCTGGGGTGTTCTTCCAGAGCTCTTTCTTTTGCTATTAGTAATGGGCATGAATGAGCCCCTTTATTTTTTATTTTCAGACACATTCTCCCTAAGTTCCCCAGGCAGCCTCAAACTTGCAATCCTCCTGCCTCAGCCTCTGAGCTGCTAGTGTTATTGGCATGATCAGTGCACCGGGCTCCAGAGCTCTTCTACAGCAGCATTCCAGAGGGGTGTGGTGAGTTTCCTTCCTGATTTGGTTCCTAGACATAATACCTAAGGTCCCATTACCCATGGACTATCTCTGAAGCATCGAGTCTCTGCATAGAAATCCCCAGGAGCCAGTTACAAAGTTAGACCTCAGCCCTGCCCGGACCTCCTGAGGCAGCTGTGGAGAGTTCATAGGAGCTCCAGGCAGGGTGGGTACAGGTTCACGGGGACATGTTCCCAGAGGCATTATCAGGAAACTAACCCTCGTGCGCAGCCACGGTGGACTGGGCTAGTGAACTGTGGGACCACAGGTGAGGACACGCAGTAATGACCACCACAGGCTACGTGGATGGACCTTGAGAACACGAGTGGTGTCACATCAAGAGAGTCAAGGCACTTAGGATCCTGCCGCGGCACCCAGCCAAGTGGCACTTGTACAGGGACCCTCAGAGCAGCACAAAGGTGGAACCACCCTGGAGACGCTGAGCTGAAGCATGGTAAAGCCAGTGTGCTCCTTCCAGACACGGGGACGTTCTCCAGCCACGGGGAGGAGAGCAGTCCAGGCCCGGTTACAGGAAATCTTGTGGCCAAGTGACAAGCCACACACAAGAGGGGTGCATTGTGTGACGGCCTTTAGTGGTAGGGTCCCCAAGAGGCAGAGCATAGTGATAAGGGACGACGAGGGGCTGCCAGGCCTGGAGGGGACAATCGGGAGTGCGAGCCAGGCATGGGGCTCTCTGTACCGAGTATAGTGTGCTCTGGCCTTGGAGGGGCTGGTGGCGGCACCAATCGTGAGTGCACCAAAGACCACCTCTATGTCACTCGAAGACGGTTGGCACTGTGTTGCAGGACTCTCACCTGCACGGAGGAGGCGAGGTCGGAGAGTGGCGCGTGTGTGTGCGTCCTGGTTACTTACACCATGGAAGGAAAAGAGGACAAACTAAACCCTGTGGGAGATTCAGGTGTATTGGGTAAAACTATGAGGAAATACGGGGACAGCAGGAGACAAGCAGTGGCCTGGGGTCCTCGAGGCAGAGGCGGGGGTGAACACGAGGCCTTTGGGGGCCTCCAGGGCCGTGTTCTCACCTACCCGGGTGGGCAGCGTCAGGGCGTTTGCGCTGTGAGCCTCCTTCTAACTGCACGTGGTGAAAGGAAGAGGTGAGGGTCCGTCCAGAGGGAGCCTCCCTGGGGTGGCTGCTGGGGGTTCGGCTCCCTGCTGGCAGACACCTGTCCCCGCCCAGCCCCAGAGGGACACCCCGCCTACCTGGGTCACCTTCTCCAGAGATGCTGATGGTCAGGTTCTGAGGAGCATCTGGACAGAGAGACTCCATGAGGGTCGCATGCACAGCTGGCCTGCGCTCCTCCCCAGGAGCCATGGAAATGAAAGAGGAAGCAGCACCCAGGTGGCCAGTGTCCTCCCTGTGTCCCCTGCAGGCCCGTGGCCTTCAGGACCCAGGCTCAGCAGCCTCTCTCAGTCTGTCCCAGCTGCTCTGACTCTCCACAGCTGTGACCCAGCCACTTCCCAGACGTCCCCCCTCCTGGCCCCGTTGCCTTGTGGTTAGGGTTTCCCACACCAACACAGGGGGACACAGACATTCAGACCTCGGCACCCTCCCCACCCTCCGCCCCCACACAGCAGCCCAGTGCCCTGGCACAGCACTCACAGGACACGCTGAGCTGCACAGTTCTGTTTGAAGACACGCCGGCCCTGGGGAAGGTCACTCGGCAGGAGAGGTGGGTGCCATGGTCTTCGGGGTGGGGCGTGAGCAGGATCTCCGAGGTGGAGGGCTCCAGGCCTGACCCCGCTGCTCTCAGGGCAGCCCCAGCCCAGGTGATACGGGGGGCCGTGGGCCAGTCACAGGCCCCAGGCATGGAGCATGTCACATGGCTAAGGTGGCCCGACTGTAGGGGCTCCTGGATGTGGATGTCTGGGGTTTGGGTCAACTCTGGGGAGGAGAGAGGGACAGACTAGATCCAAGAGGGGATGCGTGTGTGCCTCTGATACAGACACCCCAATCCTGAACCACCTGGGCTCCACTGCCCCCTCAAGACCAGGGTCTCCCTTGGACCCTGACGACCCTCCCTACCCATGTGTGCTGTTGGTTCCTGGGCATTTGTCCTCACCTGTGACAGTCAGGGTGAGCAATTTCTTGTAACTGTGATTCTCATCTCCTTGCTCTAGATGAAAATAGTATGTTCCGCTGTCGTCCTTCTGGACCTCGGAGATGCTCAAGGAGCAGTTGTTAGATTGGGGGTCTCCGAGGAGGCGGAAATGAAGTTTGTTCTTCACTTTTGCTTTCTTGTCTGGGTTGTTTGTGGCCACGAGATCATTGTCTTTTGCATCAGGTTTGAAATTCTTCTGTGTCTTGTACCAGGAGCCGTAGGTAGGTGTGGAGTGCTTCCAGCCAGCCTTGGGGTAGGAGAAGGAGCAGGACACAAGCACACACAGACCCTCCTGTACTGTCACCGCCTTCTGCATCTGCAGCCAGAAAGACTGATTCTTCTGCAGGGACCCTGGGGGGACAGAGAGAAGCTTAGCTGCAGTCCCAGCCCACACCTAGGCTCCCTGGTCCTCAGCCCACTCACCCGTCCCCAACTGAAGCAGCAGCAGGGCCAGGAACAGCATCTTGGGGCTCAGGGGACTGTCCTGTCCTGGGATCCTCTGGCCTCTGGCTCTGCCTCTCTGAGAGGACACTCCCTCAGGAAGTCTGGGGATGGCCACTGACCACCACAGAAGAGGAACCTCAGCAATAAGTGCCCTGGTTTCATGGTCTCCTTTTCATAAAAGTGGGCTGAAGGGCAGGAGGCCTGAGCGCCTTGCCTCAAGTGGGAAGGACCCGTCCAGCCTCTGCCTCAGGGCAGGAGTCCCTGCCTCACAGGGGAACCCTGTGTGGTGGCCCCAGGGACAGCGATGGGGGCTGCCTCACTCCCTCACTCCCTCACTGCCCAGGCGAACCTCTGCTCCATGCAGGCAAAGAGCCCCAACTCCTGATGACCCCCAAATCCTGCCATAGGGCTCCCCTTCACTGACTCCAACCTGGGTCTCCATCTTGCATGCTCCCCAAGGGCCCTGGCTCCCCTGCGTACTCAGGGATATTTTGGGGTGCCGCTGCTTTGGGTTTGCTCTGAGTTTGGGAGGTGCCGGGGTGGAACCCAGGGCCCATTTGTGCCAGGCAGGCGCCCCACGCTGAGCCATCCTCCCAGCCCAGGGCTTGTGCCTTTGCTTTGGGCACTGGAGCGCTTCAGGATCCTCCCTCCACGTGGCTTCAGGGCACGACCACTGCCCACCCCCAAACTTCCCTTCACCTCTTCTGCTGAGGAGCTGGAGCTCCCCAGTGACAGGAGGCTTTAGTAGCTTTCCCTTCCCAGAACTTTCTAGGGGCCCAGCTGTGCCACCTCAGGGATGGAGGGAGCCGCCCCAGCCTGTGTCAGCAGGAATGTACCCGTGTCCGCCCCTGTCAAGGCCCACGAGTTACCCAGGTTGTGGTTCCTCTCAGAGCGGAGATGCCTCATACCAACGTTCCCAAGGTTGCCAGGGTGACGTTTGTCCCAGTGGATCCTGGCTACTTCCGGTGCACTGTGTCCACCGCTCATGGGGCTCTGAAATTCATCTTCCACAGCCTGGATGGCTTGTCATGGCCAAGACTGGACTGCACAATCGGAACCCAAGGCCTCTCCCTCCCTAGTCTCACTCTATTGATTCCTTTTTTTGTTTTGTTTTGTTGTTGGTGGTGGTGGGGGTTACCAGGGATTGAACCCAGGCGTGCTTAAGCACTGAGCCACACCCCCAGCCCTATTTTGTGTTTTATTTAGAGACAGGGTCTCACTGAGTTGCTTAGTGCATCGCTGTTGCTGACGCTGTTGCTGGCTTTGAACTCATGATCCTCCAGCCTCAGCCTCCCAAGCCACTGGGATTACAGGTGTGTACCACCATGCCCGTCTTGCTTCTTATTTTTTATTTAGAGACAGGGTCTTGCTAACTTACTTAGGTCCTTGCTAAGCTGCTGAGGCTGGCTTTGAACACATGATCCTCCTGCCTCAGCCTCCTAAGCCGCTGGGATTACAGGTGGGTATCACCCATGCCCGGCCTTCCACTGAACCTTGGGGGTTTGGTGGAGGAAGATAGGGTAGGCTGAATGCACTTCTCACACCTTCTCAAGGGCCTGTGATTTGTCGTTCCTGTGTGACCTTGATCAGCTGGCTGAGGTCATGTGTTCAGACTCCTCCTCTGTAAAGCTCCCTCTCTCCACCTTGTCATAGTGACCTCTCTGGAAGGAGGTCACTGTGTGCAGCCTCCCCTTAAGGGATGGGGAGTCATGCCACTCCTCCTTGAGGAATATAACATACAATTTGTCATCTCAAAATTTTGAAACGTACAGTTCTCTGGCTCTAAGCACTGCTACCTAGTTGCAGAACTTCCTATCACCCCTAAAGAAAACCTAGTGCTTGTTAAGTGGCCACTTCTCCTCCCAACAGGCAACAAAAGTCCATTTCTGTCTCTAGAGTTATGATTTACCTAATCCTGACATTTCACATGAGTGGAATTATGTCATATTTGTCTGACTTCCTCCACTTAATACAGTGTTTTCCAGTTTTATAATATTCTAGCATGTATCAAATGTCATTCCATTTAAAAATTTTTTTTAATTTGTCCTAATTAGTTATACACAGCCGAAGGCATTTTGACACATCATACATAAATGGGGTGTAAGTTCTCATTCTTCTGGCTGTACATATGTAGAGTTACACAGGTCATGTAATCATATATGCACATAGGGTAATGATGTCTGATTCATTCTACTATCATTCCTGCCACCATGCCCCCTCCTCTCCCTTCACTCCCCTCTGTCTGGTCTATAGTACCTCTATCTCCCTCCCTTATTGTGAATTGGCATCTGAATATCAGACAAAACATTTGACCTTTGATTTTTCGGGATTGGCTTACTGTGCTTGTCATATCCAGTCCACCCATTTACTGGCAAAGCCATAATTTCATTCTTCTTTAAGACTGAGTAATATTCCATTATGTACATATACCACGTTTTCTTTATCCTTCATCTGTTGCAGGACACCTGGGTGGGTTGCATAGTTTAGCTATTGTGAATTGAGCTGTTATGAGCATTGATGTGGCCACGACACTGTAATATGCTGATATTAAGTCATTTGGGTATAAATCTAGGAGTGGGATGACTGGGTAAAATGGTGGTTCCATTCCAAGTTTTCTGAGGAATCTCCATACTGCTCTCCGTGTGTTGCACCAATCTGCCATCCCAGCAGCAACGTAGGAGCGGACCTTTTTTGCCACATTCTTGTCAACATTTATTGTTACTTGTAATCTTGATAATTGCCATTCTGACTGGAATGAGATGGAATCTCAGTGTAGTTTTGGTTTGCATTTCTCTAATTGCTAGAGATTTTGAACACTTTTTTCATATATTTGTTGATCAATTGTATTTCTTCTGTGAAATGTCTGTTCAGTTCCTTATCCCGTTTATTGATTGGGTTATTTGTGGGTTTGGCTTAAGTTTTTTTGAGTTCTTTACATATCCTAGAGATTAGTGCTCTATCTGAGGTGTGTGTTGTGGGAAGCCACTCCAAGAGCACGCACCTTTAAGTCCTGATGCACCACGGGGATCTGAAAGATCACTTAGTCTGGCGCCTAGTGCCATGACTCGTGACTCAGTCTTTTCCCTCACTCAGATAATAAGGTGTGGCCCTGGGAGTGGCCCTAGGAGTCGGCGGCACACAGAGGGGTTGAGCTGCACTCACCTGTTCCCTTGTAATCCTACCCCTTGCCTCATTTGAGTGGCTTCTCCCCAATGAGAGGGTTCAGCCCGTGCTCCCCTCTCTCTTTCCATGGACCCCTAAGGTCGGAGGAGCCGTCACAGGACCCAAAGAGAAAGGTATTTCTCTGTCTGTGTGATGATTTCATGCAGCCCGGGTCACCTGGAGTGACCCTGAGTGTTCTAGTTGTGGAACGCGACAGCGTGTGGTAAAGATTTTCTCCCCTTCTGTAGGCTCTCTCTTCACCTTACTGTTTCCATTGCTGAGAAGAAGCCTTATAGTTTGATTCCATCCCATTTATTGACTCTTGATTTTACTTCTTGTGCTTTAGGAGTCTTGTTAAGGAAGTCAGTTCCTAAGCTGAAGAGGTGAAGATTTGGGCCTGCTTTGTCTTCTATTGGCACAAGGTCTCTAAAAATATGGAACATGCCATTCTTGCGCCAGGGCCATGCTAATCTCTGTATGGTTCCAGTTTCGACATATGTGCTGCTGAAACAAGCACTTCATTCCTTTTTATGGCTGAATAATATTTCATTCTACAGATAGAATGTTGATGACTTTTTTTTTATCTGTTTGGTTTGTGGTGCTAGAAATATAACTGAGGGACCTCCCACATGCTGGGCAAGCACCCTATGACTGAGATAAAAGCCCAGGCTCCAGGGTATTTCTTATTGACTTCTTAATGTCCCATCCCTTAAAGTTGAAGAGTCTTGGAGGTAGGCAGTGCAGACCCTCAGATGGTGCCCAGGTGAGGGATAAGGTGAGGAGGGGCCAAGCAGCTATCTGGGGATGGAGGAGGTGGAGCCGAGGTACCAAGCACCGGCCTCCACATGGACTCTATTATCCCAACAGACTTTACTTAAAAAACACAAAATCTAAGATAAAATTATTAAGAGTTTCAAGTTGGTAACCTCAGAGCTTTCAACCCCACTCCTGAAGTTCTTCTGAGTGCCAGCCCCTGAGAGGCTGCCAAGCTTCTCCCTGGGCAGCCTGAGCTGGGTGTGCAAGATGGAGGGGGGCCAGTGGCCAGGGGCAACATGCAGGGCGGAGGCCTGGTGGGTGCTGGGTATGCCGAGGTGAGCCCTCTGCAACAGGACTTGTTCTCCTCTCTGCCTGCGTGAGTGAATGAAGCCCCCATCACCCCACAGGGGGCCACTACTGGCTGTTTCCCCTGCCAGCCCCACTCTCAGGACCTCTTCCCCGGGGGCTGAGCCAGAATAGGTCCTGCATGCCTGAGCCCAGTCCTTCCTGGTGCCAACAACTCTGAAACAGGAAGTCAGAAGAGAGGATCCTTCAGGCACTGCTTTGCATGAAAATGGGCTCATGGCATGCTGCCTAGTTCCCTTTGCCTGCCTGGCCTCTGAAATGCTGCGTGGGCCCTGAGGGCTTCCAGGCCTGTGCTAAGGCCTGCCCATTGGCACCGCCCATTCTTGTGCACCTGAGAAACTGATGTGACTCCATTTTTAAAAATGAATAAATAACAGCCACTTCTACCTCAAGGCTTGTCCTAAGGAAGGGGGTGTGACCCTTGTCCTTTGAAAAATCCACAGAGCAATCCTAAGCACATACCCACCCTGCTGAGTTGTTTGTCTGTAAATAACAGGAGAGGTCGGAGGCGCCAGGTGTCCCTGACTCAGTTAGGCTAGGTGAGGACCCATAGCAACCCCCCTAGCAACCTCCAATCAGCATGAGACAGGGAAATACCTGGGATGCCAGATGACCCCCCAGTAGTTTACGGTGGTTGATAACATGTTGGGAAACCATGTAGTTTAGCAGTACACCCCTCATGGCCTAAACCAATCAGTTCAAAAGAATCCCCCTCTTGTACTAACCAATCACCCTACCAACTTGTTCCTGCCAGTGAATGTGCTAATCAATGTTAAGAGTTATTGTTTGATTTTCCCGAAATATGGAATGATTTGCTGTGTGATGTTGTGACGCATAGAGTATCCCCCCAAACCTATAAAATCTCACTGAACAAAGGATGGGGGCTCACTCCATGGGACCGCTGGGTCGGGAACGGTTGTGAGTCCAGGCTCGAGCTTGCAATAAAGACTCTTGTGTGATTGCATCGGATTCGGCTCCTGGAGGTCTATTGGGGTCACACGAATCTGGCATAACACATCTTGTCACATTTGCTGTTTGACGGTGTCTTCAAGATGGCTATTGCTCTGTCTGCTTGTCCTTCCCCACTACTAACTGGGCGAGGCCGGAAGGGAGCCTGCTCAGGTGCCCGTGCAATATGCAGGGCTGCTGCGGGAGGCGCTCTGCCCCTGGGCCCAGGGCACTGGACTCAGAGAGACCTGGCCAGGAACCCTGCTGACCACTCACAAGGTTGTGTTTGGAAATGGTTATTTAGCCCCATTTTCTCCAGCTGGTAAATGGGCCCATGAGTGTTCCTCGTGGATTCTGTGAAGGCTTGTGAAACGGTCACTGACCGAGCACCAGGTGCACGCGATCCCACGCCACTGAGGGAACCAGACTGGGTGGACGAGAGCAGGGAGCCCAGTCCGTCTCTGTGGGGTGAACGGAGGCTACTAAACGCTCATTTGGGGGTTGGCTTGGGGGTCCTCCTTGCTCTTTCCCAGCCCCATCATCCTCATTCGATCCCAACTCCTGCCCCACTTCAGGGTCCCAAGGATGCATCACATGGTCCCACCCCTGCTGAGGCCACACTGGCCGGGGGCGAGGAGCCGGAGCCCCAGGAGCTGCACTACGCCTCCCTCAGCTTCAGGACAGAATACTCAGAGATGGAGATCTGCAAGTGACAGCCTCCAGGAGCACCCAGATGTCCTGGGGAGAGAGACATCAGGGACAATTGCTAGGTCAGCAGTTCTCCATGTGAACAGGACATGGCGCAGCAGAGGGGATGCCCCACCCTGGTGCTGGGCAGAACAGGAGTCCCAGTTTCAGTCCCATCACCCAACTTTGTGAGGAACCCAACTTTGAGGACTTTACTCCTCACCTTCCTCCTCTGTAAAATAGACCCAATGAACTATCTCACAGGACTGTCCTGGGCCATTAAGAACGAAATGCCTCAAGCCCCAAAGGACTGTGTCTTCACAGAGGCCATCGCCCAGAACCCCCTCCCAGGGCAGTGCACTAGTGTGGAGCCCACCAGGTCTGTCACCCTGGCCCAGGTGGTTGCACCCTGCAGGGTGCCCCTGCTTCCCAGTGCTCCCAGAGCTCCGTCAGGCTCTCCTTTGGGTTCCCATTGTGCAGTCCAGTCTTGGCCATGACAAGCCATCCAGGCTGTGGAAGATGAATTTCAGAGCCCCATGAGCGGTGGACACAGTGCACCGGAAGTAGCCAGGATCCACTGGGACAAACGTCACCCTGGCAACCTTGGGAACGTTGGTATGAGGCATCTCCGCTCTGAGAGGAACCACAACCTGGGTAACTCGTGGGCCTTGACAGGGGCGGACACGGGTACATTCCTGCTGACACAGGCTGGGGCGGCTCCCTCCATCCCTGAGGTGGCACAGCTGGGCCCCTAGAAAGTTCTGGGAAGGGAAAGCTGCTAAAGCCTCCTGTCACTGGGGAGCTCCAGCTCCTCAGCAGAAGAGGTGAAGGGAAGTTTGGGGGTGGGCAGTGGTCGTGCCCTGAAGCCACGTGGAGGGAGGATCCTGAAGCGCTCCAGTGCCCAAAGCAAAGGCACAAGCCCTGGGCTGGGAGGGTGGCTCAGCGTGGGGCGCCTGCCTGGCACAAATGGGCCCTGGGTTCCACCCCGGCACCTCCCAAACTCAGAGCAAACCCAAAGCAGCGGCACCCCAAAATATCCCTGAGTACGCAGGGGAGCCAGGGCCCTTGGGGAGCATGCAAGATGGGGACCCAGGTTGGAGTCAGCGAAGGGGAGCCCTATGGCAGGATTTGGGGGTCATCAGGAGTTGGGGCTCTTTGCCTGCATGGAGCAGAGGTTCGCCTGGGCAGTGAGGGAGTGAGGGAGTGAGGCAGCCCCCATCGCTGTCCCTGGGGCCACCACACAGGGTTCCCCTGTGAGGCAGGGACTCCTGCCCTGAGGCAGAGGCTGGACGGGTCCTTCCCACTTGAGGCAAGGCGCTCAGGCCTCCTGCCCTTCAGCCCACTTTTATGAAAAGGAGACCATGAAACCAGGGCACTTATTGCTGAGGTTCCTCTTCTGTGGTGGTCAGTGGCCATCCCCAGACTTCCTGAGGGAGTGTCCTCTCAGAGAGGCAGAGCCAGAGGCCAGAGGATCCCAGGACAGGACAGTCCCCTGAGCCCCAAGATGCTGTTCCTGGCCCTGCTGCTGCTTCAGTTGGGGACGGGTGAGTGGGCTGAGGACCAGGGAGCCTAGGTGTGGGCTGGGACTGCAGCTGAGCCTCTGTGTCCCCCAGGGTCCCTGCAGAAGAATCAGTCTTTCTGGCTGCAGATGCAGAAGGCGGTGACAGTGCAGGAGGGCCTGTGTGTGCTTGTGTCCTGCTCCTTCTCCTACCCCAAGGCTGGCTGGAAGCACTCCACACCTACCTACGGCTCCTGGTACAAGACACAGAAGAATTTCAAACCTGATGCAAAAGACAATGATCTCGTGGCCACAAACAACCCAGACAAGAAAGCAAAAGTGAAGAACAAACTTCATTTCCGCCTCCTCGGAGACCCCCAATCTAACAACTGCTCCTTGAGCATCTCCGAGGTCCAGAAGGACGACAGTGGAACATACTATTTTCATCTAGAGCAAGGAGATGAGAATCACAGTTACAAGAAATTGCTCACCCTGACTGTCACAGGTGAGGACAAATGCCCAGGAACCAACAGCACACATGGGTAGGGAGGGTCGTCAGGGTCCAGGGGAGACCCTGGTCTTGAGGGGGCAGTGGAGCCCAGGTGGTTCAGGATTGGGGTGTCTGTCTCAGAGGCACACACGCATCCCCTCTTGGATCTAGTCTGTCGCTCTCTCCTCCCCAGAGTTGACCCAAACCCCAGACATCCACATCCAGGAGCCCCTACAGTCGGGCCACCTTAGCCATGTGACATGCTCCATGCCTGGGGCCTGTGACTGGCCCACGGCCCCCCGTATCACCTGGGCTGGGGCTGCCCTGAGAGCAGCGGGGTCAGGCCTGGAGCCCTCCACCTCGGAGATCCTGCTCATGCCCCACCCGGAGGACCATGGCACCCACCTCTCCTGCCGAGTGACCTTCCCCAGGGCCGGCGTGTCTTCAAACAGAACTGTGCAGCTCAGCGTGTCCTGTGAGTGCTGTGCCAGGGCACTGGGCTGCTGTGTGGGGGCGGAGGGTGGGGAGGGTGCCGAGGTCTGAATGTCTGTGTCCCCCTGTGTTGGTGTGGGAAACCCTAACCACAAGGCAACGGGGCCAGGAGGGGGGACGTCTGGGAAGTGGCTGGGTCACAGCTGTGGAGAGTCAGAGCAGCTGGGACAGACTGAGAGAGGCTGCTGAGCCTGGGTCCTGAAGGCCACGGGCCTGCAGGGGACACAGGGAGGACACTGGCCACCTGGGTGCTGCTTCCTCTTTCATTTCCATGGCTCCTGGGGAGGAGCGCAGGCCAGCTGTGCATGTGGCCCTCATGGAGTCTCTCTGTCCAGATGCTCCCCAGAACCTGACCATCAGCATCTCTGGAGCAGGTGACCCAGGTAGGCGGGGTGTCCCTCTGGGGCTGGGCGGGGACAGGTGTCTGCCAGCAGGGAGCCGAACCCCCAGCAGCCACCCCAGGGAGGCTCCCTCTGGACGGACCCTCACCTCTTCCTTTCACCACGTGCAGTTAGAAGGAGGCTCACAGCGCAAACGCCCTGACGCTGCCCACCCGGGTAGGTGAGAACACGGCCCTGGAGGCCCCCAAAGGCCTCGTGTTCACCCCCGCCTCTGCCTCGAGGACCCCAGGCCACTGCTTGCCTCCTGCTGTCCCCGTATTTCCTCATAGTTTTACCCAATACACCTGAATCTCCCACAGGGTTTAGTTTGCCCTCTTTTCCTTCCGTGGTGTAAGTAACCAGGACGCACACACACGCGCCACTCTCCGACCTCGCCTCCTCCGTGCAGGTGAGATTCCTGCAACACAGTGCCAACCGTCTTCGAGTGACATAGAGGTGGCCTTTGGTGCACTCACAATTGGTGCCGCCACCAGCCCCTCCAAGGCCAGAGCACACTATACTCGGTACAGAGAGCCCCATGCCTGGCTCGCACTCCCGATTGTCCCCTCCAGGCCTGGCAGCCCCTCGTCGTCCCTTATCACTATGCTCTGCCTCTTGGGGACCCTACCACTAAAGGCCGTCTCACAATGCACCCCTCTTGTGTGTGGCTTGTCACTTGGCCACAAGATTTCCTGTAACCGGGCCTGGACTGCTCTCCTCCCCGTGGCTGGAGAACGTCCCCGTGTCTGGAAGGAGCACACTGGCTTTACCATGCTTCAGCTCCGCGTCTCCAGGGTGGTTCCACCTTTGTGCTGCTCTGAGGGTCCCTGTACAAGTGCCACTTGGCTGGGTGCCTCTGCAGGATCCTAAGTGCCTTGACTCTCTTGATGTGACACCACTCGTGTTCTCAAGGTCCATCCACGTAGCCTGTGGTGGTCATTACTGCGTGTCCTCACCTGTGGTCCCACAGTTCACTAGCCCAGTCCACCGTGGCTGCGCACGAGGGTTAGTTTCCTGATAATGCCTCTGGGAACATGTCCCCGTGAACCTGTACCCACCCTGCCTGGAGCTCCTATGAACTTTCCACAGCTGCCTCAGGAGGTCCGGGCAGGGCTGAGGTCTAACTTTGTAACTGGCTCCTGGGGATTTCCATGCAGAGACTCGATGCTTCAGAGACAGTCCTTGAGTAATGGGACCCTAGGTGTTAGGTCTAGGAGCCAAATCAGGAAGGAAACTCACCACACCCCTCTGGAATGCTGCTGTAGAAGAGCTCTGGAGCCCGGTGCACTGATCATGCCAATAACCCTAGCAGCTCAGAGGCTGAGGCAGGAGGATTGCAAGTTTGAGGCTGCCTGGGGAACTTAGGGAGAATGTGTCTGAAAATAAAAAATAAAGGGGCTCATTCATGCCCATTACTAATAGCAAAAGAAAGAGCTCTGGAAGAACACCCCAGAAACCAGCACTCAATTCCCCTCTGACAAGAGGAACAGTTGCTGGGTGTCACTGTGGGAAGGAGTCTCAACAGCCCCTTCTCCTCAGGAGTTGTATATCAGCCTGGGGGGACAGAGAGGAGGAGGTGGAGATCAGCCCCCCAGGGCCTTGGAGGGCTGATGATTGGATTTGGATACTTCAACAGTAAACAGGCTCATGGGTATTGGGTGGTTAATGTGGACAAGGACCACAGCCTCAGAGAAATCAAGGAACAATCCAGTTGTCAATCAACTGATGGATGGGTGCAATAATGTGGTGGATTCAAATGGTGGGATATAATTCAGCATAAAGAAGAGCCAGGCTCTGGCAGGCACTGTACATGATGACCCTGGAAACATGGCGCTGAGGGAGAGAAGCCAGCCAGACACAGTGCACCACACACATGGGATTCTGTGGATATGTAACACCCTGCGAAGGCAAATCCAGAGACAGTGGGTTTGTGTATTTAGGGTGGGGATGGAAGGGCTGGGCAAGGGCTGGGGTGGGGGTTTCCTCTTGGTGTGGTGGGAATGCGCTAGCATTTTGGTGACCCAGATCTGAACACACAAGAGCCATGGGACTGTTGACCTGCCGTGGTCTGTCAGTGCCATTGTATGGTGTGTGATCTTAACTGGACAAAGCTGCTTTGAAAGACAGAGGCCCAGGGCATCAGCACCCTAGGCCAGGCTCAGCTCTGTCTATGTCTATGTCTCTGTCTGTCCCTCTCCAGCCCCAGTGGCCCAGGGAAAATTCTCACATCTGGAAGTCCAGAAAGGCCAGTTCCTGCGTCTCCTCTGTGCTGCTGACAGCCATCCCCCGGCCACTCTGAGCTGGGTCCTGGAGGACAGAGTCCTCTCCTGGTCCTCCCCCTTGGGCCCCAGAACCCTGGAGCTGCAGCTGCCCGTGGTGAAGCCTGGAGATTCGGGGCTCTACACCTGCCAAGCAGAGAACAGGCTGGGCTCCCAACAGGGCACCCTGGACCTCTCTGTGCAGTGTGAGTGTGACCAGAAGGTCCTGGGAGGGGAGTGGAGGAGGGGACAGGAGCCATGACAGGGTCCCAGAGCTCTGGGGGGCCTAGAACCCCAGGGCCCTGGCACCAGGCTTCTGTCCTGCTAGACCATTGGGCAGTCAGTGTGGGGACCCAGCACGTGATTCGGCCTCCCACCACCTCAGTGTCCTGGGCTGGATCCTCTGCCCAGAGGGAAGCCCCAGCCCATCTGGAGCTGGTTCCTGTCTCCATTGCAGATCCTCCAGAGGACCTGAGGGTGACGGTTTCCCAAGAAAATAGGACAGGTAGGAAGGGCAGAGAGGAAGCAGGGCCTCTGGGTGCCCCGTTGCGGGCCCAGGAGACGGGGCCACAGGTCCGTTCTGCCTCTTCCCTTCCCTAGTCACGGAAGTCATCAGGAATGGCACGTCCTTCCCAGTCCTGGAGGGCCAAAGCCTGCGCCTGGTCTGTGTCACCCCCAGCAACCCCCCAGCCAGGCTGAGCTGGACCTGGGGGACGCAGACCCTGAGCCCTGAGTGGCTTTCCGATGCTGGGGTCCTGGCGCTGCCCCGGGTGCAGACAGAGCATGGAGGAGAGTTCACCTGCCATGCCCGCAGCCCCCTGGGCTCCCAGAACCTCTCCCTGAGCCTCTCTGTGCACTGTGAGTGCGGGAGGGGAGGGAGGGCACGCCTGGGGTCGGGACGAGGTGGCATCTGCTGACCCTTCTCCTCGCTCCTCAGACCCCCCACGGCTGCTGGGACCCTCCTGCTCCTGGGAGGCCCAGGCTCTGCTCTGCAGCTGCTCCTCCCGCGCCTGGCCGGCCCCCGCCCTGCACTGGCGGCTGGGGGAGGGGCTGCTGGAGGGGAACAGCAGCAATGCCTCCCTCGGGGTCACCTCCAGCTCCGCGGGGCCCTGGGCCAACAGCTCCCTGAGCCTCCACGAGGCGCTCAGCTCCGACCTCAGGCTGAGCTGTGAGGCCCAGAACGCCCAGGGCACCCAGAGCGCCACCGTCCTGCTGCTGCCAGGTCAGGGGCCTGTGGGGGCCCAGGTTTAGGGAGGTGGATCTGAGGAGTGACCAAGGACAGGGCTTGGGGCCATGGGCTGAGCCTGGATGGAAGGGTGGACAGAGGACTCGTTGTTTGGCTGTTTGGGATGAAGGGCTGTAGGTGTGTGAGGAGGACGGGGTCCTGGGGTTCAGAGGGCTTCACCATGAACCCCACTTGCCTGCAGGGAAGCCAGAGCTCAGGGGAGTCCTGCTGGGGACACTGGGGGCTGCTGGTGGGGCCGCTCTACTCTCCCTCTGTGCCTGCCTCGTCTTCTGGTGAGTGTTCTTCCTGGGCAGGATGCCAGGTGTGGAGGGAGGATGTGTCCCCAGGACCCTACAGGCCCCACTGGAGGGTCTGACAGGCCAGTGCCTATGAGTGGCCTTGGGCCAGAGGATCAGAGCAGGGGTCTGTGCCCTGCCCATTATCCCAGGAGTCACTCAGTGAGACATGTCCCCTGACTCCTGGGCCTTGGTAGGCTTTCTAGGCTATTTTAGCAGGGCCCACAGAAGTCCCACCCCAAGGTCTGAGCCCACAGGTGGCTGAGTGGCCCAGTCTCCTCCTTCAGGTTAAAGACTCGCAGGAAGAAAGCTGCCAGCCCAACAGGAACTGCACAACAGGACACCCCCGTTGACCTGGGCCCTGTCTGTGGGGTGAGTGTGAGGATCCCACTGTCCTCCAGCCCCTGCCTCCCCAGGTGGCCGGACCAGAACCTCTGGACAGCCAGGGGACTCATTATGGCAAATAGGCTTTGCACCTGTGTCCCCACCAACATGGCCCCAGTCCCAGTCTAGTGTCCTGGAACTTCCCAGCCAAGGCCCTTCCCTGCTCCCAAGGCCATGGCCACCCAGGTTGACCACCCACTGCCTGGACTCACTTCAGCCCCTTCCACTCCGTCTCTTCATTTCTCTCTGAACCCCTCACCCCTTCCCTTCTCCTCACTCCTCAGCAAGGCAGGAAGCCACAGAAATATCCCCCAAACGGCCATGGTCTGTTGGAAGCCTCACATGTTCCAAGCCTGACATCAGCTGTGAAGCAAGAGGCACAGGGGTGGGGTGGGTGACAGGAGGTCCCAGTGGTCCTGTCCCATTGGAGTCTCTCCAAGAGCACCTCATCTCCAGGGCCAGAGCCTGACAGCAGGTAGCAGTATTGCAATCAAGAATTCCACCCGGCCTTGGCATCCAAGTCTCCACTAGGGACTGGTCACACTGACACTGTCACCTATGTGGCTGGCCTCAGTCACTTGGTGTCTAGCTCCTCCAAAGATCAAACTGATGCCACATGACCCTACGTGGCCACCATAAACCACACCATTAGCATAGGTAAGCGTAGGTCAACCCGTCTGGCCTGAGGTTCCCAGGGGAACGCAGATCCTTCTGTCAGGTGGGGCCTGAGGGAAGATAAGCCCTCCCAGGAGCTGGGTGCAGAGAGTCCACCCCTAATCTGGGCAAGATGAGTCCCAAGGCACAGTAGCCTTTGTTTCGTGGGCTCACGGCATGCTGCCTAGTTCCCTTTGCCTGCCTGGCCTCTGAAATGCTGCGTGGGCCCTGAGGGCTTCCGGGCCTGTGCTAAGGCCTGCCCATTGGCACCGCCCATTCTTGTGCACCTTGTCACATTTGCTGTTTGACGGTGTCTCTAAGAAGGTGACTGCTCTGTCTGCTTGTCCTTCCCCACTACTAACTGGGCGAGGCCGGAAGGGAGCCTGCTCAGGTGCCCGTGCAATATGCAGGGCTGCTGAGGGGAGCGCTCTGCCCCTGGGCCCAGGGCACTGGACTCAGAGAGACCTGGCCAGGAACCCTGCTGACCACTCACTAGGTTGTGTTTGGAAATGGTTATTTAGCCCCATTTTCTCCAGCTGGTAAATGGGCACATGAGTGTTCCCCGTGGATTCTGTGAAGGCTTGTGAAACGGGCACTGACCGAGCACCAGGTGCACGCGATCCCAGGCACTGAGGGAACCAGACTGGGTGGACGAGAGCAGGGCGCCCAGTCCTTCTCTGTGGGGTGAACGGAGGCGACTAAACACTGAGTTGGGGGTTGGCTTGGGGGTCCTCCTCACTCTTTCCCAGCCCCGTCATCCTCATTCGATCCCGACTCCTGCCCCACTTCAGGGTCCCAAGGATGCATCCTGGTTGGACAGCCCCTCATATGGTCCCACCCCCACTGAGGCCACGCTGGCCATGGGAGAGGAGCCAGAGCCCCAGGAGCTGCACTACGCCTCCCTCAGCTTCCTGGAGTTTGAGCCTCGAGAGCCCAAGGTGCAGGAGGCCAGGAGCAGGACAGAATACTCAGAGATCAAGATCTGCAATGGTGGCCTCCAGGAGCAGCCGGATGTCCCGGGGAGAGAGACACCAGGGACAATTCCTAGATCAGCAGTTCTCCAGGTGCACAGGAAGTGGAGCAGCACAGAGGATGCCCCGCCCTGGTGCTGGGCGGAACAGGAGCCCCAGTTTCAGTCTCATCACCCAACTTTGTGAGGAACCCAACTTTGAGCAAATGACTTCACTCCTCACCTTGCTCCTCTGCAAAATAGACCCCATCAACCTAACTCACAGGACTGTCCTGGGCCATCAAGAACAAACTGCCTCAAGGGGCTAGGGCTATAGCTCAGTGGCTGAGCACTCGCTCACATGCCTGAGGCACTGGGTTCGATCCTCAGCACCACATACGAAAATAAATAAATAAAACAACGATATTTAAAAAAAAAAAGAAGAAGAAGAAAGAAATGCCTCAAGCCCCCAAGGGACTGTGTCTGCTGAGAGGCCGTCGCCCAGAACCCCCTCCCAGGGCAGCGCGCTAGTGTGGAACCCACTGGGTCTGTCACCCTGGCCCAATTGGGGTGCACCCTGCAGGATGCCCTGCTTCTCAGTGCTCCAGAGCTCCGTTGGGCTGTCCCTGGGGTGTAGTAATCTCCTGCTCACCTGCTTCTCCCTTCTGGCCTCCAGGCATGTGAACTGCTAGGGGGACACCTTGTCCCTCCTTACCCCTCACGCCCATCTCCACAGCTGCTTCCTGCAGCCCCACCTCTCCTTGGCACAGTCACTCCTGTTCATCTGGAATAAATTAAAAGTGTGTAAACCGCTCATCTCTGGCTGAGCTCCATTGCCCCGTGGGTTGGTTCTCCCTCTCCACTTCTTCTTTTGCTGAATTTGCGTATAAATTCCCTTGCACTTGCAGTCTGTGCTCCACACACAGTGTGACACGGTCCTCCCAGGGTCACTTCCTCCTTTTCTTCTTTCCCATTGTGCCTTCATTAGTGAGAAGGCACAGTGGACATTGGCGTCATGAGCAGGGGCTCCAACGTGTGCTAGCAGCAAGTGAAGGCCCTGCTGCCACTCCTCAGCTTCCCTGGCCAAGGCTCACCAGCGCTCCTCCCCTCAGGAGGACACTGCACGTCTTGGCCAATGACTTGTATTTTATACCTTAATTTAATTTATTTATTTTTATGTGGTGCTGAGGATCCAACTCAATGCCTCACATATGCTAGGCAAGCGCTCTGCCACTGAGCCACAACTCCAGCCCTTGGTCAATGACTTTTCACAATGGTGTCCTTGACCAAAAAGAACACTGTTGTCAAGTTTTGTTCCTCTTTTCAAGAGGACACTTGGTGATTCCAACTTTCCCATCCTGCTACAGCAGTCAGTATTGTCCCATAAAATACTGAATTCTGAAACGGGTAAAATCTTTTTCAAAAACAGTCATGGCGAGGGGAGGGGATGGGGGATAGTAGAGGATAGGAAAGGCAGCAGAATACAACAGACACTAGTATGGCAATAGGTAAATCAATGAATGTGTAACTGATGTGATTCTGCAATTTGTATACGGGGTAAAAATGGGAGTTCATAACCCACTTGAATCAAAGTGTGAAATATGATATATCAAGAACTATGTAATGTTTTGAACAACCAACAATAAAAAAAATTAAAATATATATATATCATTTCCAAATAAACATTATCGATTGAAAAATAAATAAATAAAATAAAATAAAAAAACAGTCATGGCGAATAGTACAACCACATGTTAGAGGATATCAAGACTGTCTTTTCCCCTTCTAATTAATGTCCCTCTGAAGAACAGCCTGGACACCTGAAGGAACACATTTTCATTAACCCTTTCTTTATCACATCTGAAATTTCTCATCATCAATGTAGCACTCACCCTGCTGTCTGTTCTTTTTTGTTAACATTTTTTAGTTGTAGATGGACACTGTACCTTTGTTATTTAACTTTATGTGGTACTGATCATCAAACCTAGTGCCTCATACGTGCTAGGTGAGCACTCTACCACTGACCACAACCCCAGTCCCTGCTATCTGTTATATGTATGATCCAATTGACATGAAACAAACTATTAGAAACTATAAATAAGAAATGAAAGATTTAACTCCATAGATTATTTTTTATATTTATTTCTTAGTTGTAATTGGACACAGTACCTTTATTTTATTTATTTATTTTTATGTTGTGCTGAGGATCGAACCCAGAGCCTCACACATGCTAGGCGAGAGCTCTACCCCCGAGCCACAACCCCAGCCCCACAGATTATTTTACATCAAGAATTTGTGCCAGGTGTGGGGTCGCACACTTGTAATCCTAGTGACTAGGGAGGCTGAGGCAGGAGGATCACCAGTTTGAAGCCAGACTTAGCAATTTCGAGAGGCCCTAAGCAAGTTAGTGAGACCCTGTCTCCAAATAAAAATTGAAAAGGGCCTGGGATGCAGTTCAGTGGTAAAGCACCCCTGGGTTCTATCCATAGTACCAGAAAAAAGGAAGAAAAGTAGAAAAGAAAGAAAGAAGAAAAGCAAGCAAGCAATGAAGTCAAACATTTTGGGAGACTCTTGGCTATGGCTCAGCTAGACTTCAGAGTCCCCAGGTTCCCATGTAGGAAGCTTGGTCCACAGCGTGGTGCTGCTGAGGTGGGGGGGCCTTGCTGAAGGGGATTAGCTCATGGGTGCTGTCCTCAGAGGAGATTAATCCTCCTCCCAAGAAGAGCAAGCCTGACTCCCCTCTCCACCTTTTTGTAGTGCTGGGGATCAAACCCAGGGCCTCCCATATGCCAGCCAGGTGCCCTTCCCCTGAGCCACACCCCTGCTGGGCCCCTCTCTGGCTTCCAGTCACTCTAAGGTCTCTGTTTCTCCCACACTCCTGCCACTGTGGTGCCATGTGCCACAGGGTCCTTTCCAGACACGCCACGCTTTTGAAATTCCAGAACTGTGAGCTCAACACACCTTTTTGCTTTACATAGTCCTCGCCTCAGGAGTTTTGTTATATCAACAGAGAGGGGACTAAGAGGCTTTTCATCAGCCTACAGGATGAGTTCTTTGCTTCATGGAAATAAAACCAGCATTCTCTCATGGGGGTTTTCAATGCAAGAGAACTGAAAATACAGCATGGTAGAAATTCAAAGGTAAAAAGAACTAAAAGAAATCCTTTAGCTGCTCAGTTCTAACAGTATAAGGGAAGTGGGGTCAGGCCATACAGTTCTTTACATAGCAAAGTGCTTAAGCTGCTCTGCAGGAAAAGCCTCCAAATTTGATTTGAAACCAATTCATCTAGAATGGGCATAGGCAGAAGTCCACTCCGCTGGTCAATGACCTTTAGACATCAGAAACTCAGAATCTGCTGAACATGGTAACTGCCCCCAGAAGAATCCTGTGACCTGTCAAGAGGAAGGGCATTTCCACCATGCGGCCTGCACAATGGTTTCATTAATGAGGTTCTTGGCATAAAGTTAGTTAGAAGAGATCGAAATAAAACACACAGACTCAGTTACCTTATTTCTATTGCCAGGTCCGAGACGGCTCCCCTCTCTGGCTCCAACCTCTAACCGCCCAGCAGGGCAGCAAGGATTACTCAGGGCTAGCAGGAGAGAGAGAGAGTGAACACGCCAGGGAGTAGCCTTTTATTGGGGAACAAGAAATTCAGGGGATAATTCCATCCAATGAAGGTTGAGGGGGGACTGCACTCCAAGGTCAGGGTCAGTGATTGGGCCCCCAGGGTCAGTGGTCAGTCACACCCCCACACGGACGGGTTCTCTCATCAGGAAAGGGCCGGGAAAATTCCGACACAGCCAGAAGCCTCAGACCCTTAAAGGGAGCCGCCCAGTCACGTGTCAGGATGGCTTCCCACAGGGCATCAGTCGTTTCTATGCAAGAGGACCCCAAAACCTCCCCCTCTTGCCCTCTGAGCACAAGCAGCTGCTCCCTGCCCCTTCCTAGAAGCTCCTCAGTTACCAAGTGGCTGGAGAGACAGATTCCAGCCTTTGCTCTCTGTCCCTGATGAGTGGCCCTCAACACGCAGCTTTTCGTTTTTCCAGTGCCACAGCATGCTCTGTGCGGGCTGGGCAGCCAGCTCTTGGTCTGTATTATAAGGGCTCGGTAAGAACAACTTCATGACAAGCCTCCTCTGCCCCAGGAAGGCGTCAGGAGCTGTGTGAAGGGCGTGTTGTGCAACGTGGCCCCACAGCCAGCACCTTCCCCCGGCTGTCCACCCCGGGCTTCCACTTGGAATCAGCACCATCCACACCTCCCACCAACAGCCACCAAAATCTGTATTTGTGGCATCTCAATCCACAAATTGAGTGGCATTGAGATGCCACATATCATCAATGTGATGTTTCCCACTAAATTCCGACTCACTGAGAGTCTGTGGTCACCGCTCAAGTCTCCTGTGGAAGGGATTCTACCTGCAGTCACCTTAAGAGCAAGCTTTTTTCAAGAGAAAAATATTTCAAAGCCAAGACCCCACCTTTTAGGGTGATTTGTTCTGCAGCAAAGAACCTGCTCTGCAGTAGCAAGTGCCAAGGACAGGCTGCTCAGCCTGAGACAGGCGCAGGGGAAGAAAAAAGAATTCCCTGGGTCATCTGGGATTCTTGGTTGCCAGGGATGGAGAAGCCTCTTTAATCAAGTGGGCAGTGTCTTGGTTCTTGGAGGCTGACAACCCCAGGTGGGTCTGGCTTCAGGCGTGGCGGGATTCAGGGCTCAGTGAGCTCACCAGGGTCTCCTTGCCTGAAGATGGCTCCATTTGAGGTGCTTTGATGAGAACCTGAGATGACCCCCCACAAGAGGGCATCCGTGGGAGCTCAGGAGAATGTTCTCGGATAGTGTGTCCTCAGATGTGGGGTCTGATCAGCTCCTGTGTTCATCTCTGAGCCACACACCAGCCCTTGAACCGTCGGGCCCCCGTCTAGCTGCCACATGTAGCACTGCAAGGATGTCCCCTGATAAGACCTGCAGAACCTTCCAGATGAACCCAGCCCTAACTACTGCCCTGAAGCATCCTAACACATGAAATAGGGCCAGTTGGGTGGTTTGTCATGAAGCAATAGGTGTGCAGTACACTTACTACAGAGATTAGGGGTTTTATCTCTGCTTTGCAGTGCTGGGGATGGAACCCAGGCCTCTCACCTGCTAGGCAAGGGCTCTGCCACTGAGCTAGCCCCCAGCCCCAGGGTTTGCTTTTTAAAATTTTATTTAATTTATTTTTAGTACATAATGTTTATACATAATAGTAAGGTTCCTTTTGACCGGAACTTGCTTTTGAATGTAGGACTGTAGGGAAGGGGGACACGGCTCAGTGGTTTAGTGACTCTGGGTTCAATTCCTGGTAGAAAAAAAAAAAAGTTGAGAATATAGCTCAGTTGATAGAGTGCTTGCCTTCAATGCACAAGGCCCTGGGTTCAATCCTCAGCACCAAAAAAGAGAATATAGGACTAGGGCCTGGGGCTGGAAGGGGACAGGAACTTTCACTTTTATGCCACACATTTCAGTTTGGTTCAAGTGATTTTATAAGCAAATAATATATTGGAATTTAAACCAAAATATGATAAAGGAGAAGAGGAATAAAGAATTTATATTGCCAGAAAGTTGGAGAAAATCTGTTTCTCAACACAACCTTGGCTAAATGAATTATGGTACATTCATAGCTTGGATTGTGGTACCCACACACAGACTGTTGTTTTGCAAATGTTTTCAAACTCAGAGCTACAAGCACATATAGAAATACAAGCACACAGCCTAAGCCTCCTTTCACAAAGCGTCTCCTGACCTCCTACAAGACACTTGTGTTTTTGTTTATGCCTTTT